TAATTCAGTTTGAAAAGATTAGCAATTATAGATATATATATATATATATATATATATATATATATATATATATATTAAAAAGATAATCATGCCATTTGGAGGGCAGACAGTGAGGCCTATACACTACTGAACATATTGTTTCTGTATGAGCGTGAGTATATGCATGTTGATTGTCCTGGTTAAACCAATCCGTGCTTATATGAATCCAACACGCCTCTATGACAAAAGCACCCGTTTTAACCTCTCAAACGTCTCAATGTATTTATAAACGGTTGTTTACATTTTCAGTAAAAGAAATAACAGCATTGTTCATAGAACAATAGCCGTCTTTGCATTATAGAGGAGCTGACCCTCAAAGAGGAGAATCGGAAACTAACAAAACCTATTAAAGGGCTTCCCTGCAGTACGTCAGTAAACTGAAAGTGGCAGCGCAGTTTTTTTGTAATGATGTAATGCGTTTGCGATGCGGCTTTACTGTATATCTGTGCACACACTGGCCACAACTTTATAAAATGTTTTTATAGGCAAGAAATATCCTCAGGTGAAGTAGTGAATAAATAAACTGCAACCATGTCGAAAAAAAGCAGCATTGCTGGTCACCAGCATGTTGTGGTTTAGATGCGGGAAGTGTCCTTTCTAACCAGCAGAATTGCCATATATCTGCAAATGCAGTAACTACAGCAAATGAGAGAAATTTATTTTAAATAAATCATTTTTTATTTGAATCTGAGGATAGTTGAGCCAAATTGTACAGATCAGAGTCTAAAAGTCCAGATTTCAGGTCTAAATCAGTTTTGGAAATGAAAGGTTGTTCATGCGTTTTGCCTTTGTAGACCAACCTATGTCAACCAGCTTCACTCAACAGATTACATGTGTTGACTAGTATTTTTTGCTGGTGAACAGCAAAGCTATGCTGGTCCTCCAGCTAGACCAGCATCATATCAGCTTTTCAACAGGGTTGCAAGGCATATTTTGCTATTCCTCAATAAAATCTATTCACAAAAAAGGGGTAAAACGTATATAGTTTCTGTGAATAAGCATCTCTTCAGAAAGTCAGAAAGTCAGACTAGAGCTGATGCACAGTAGAAAGGCATGACCAGTCGCTCTGTTTGCCTTGAACTGATTGCAGAGAGACTCAGTGCTAGCAGAGAGACTTTACTAGCACTAGTGTAGAGTCCTGCCATTAATGCCACACACTAAGAGGTAATGACACCATGTGCCTGCCATGTATTTATACACTATTGCACATTCTGGCAAGTCTGGTAGAGTGTGTAAGCACTCAAGAGGTGGACACTGGCATTTAGTCTGATATTCTGTATTGTTTTTTAGAGATGAACAATGTGAAGCCCTCATGTGTCCGTCATAACAGAGGACAGATATAAATCAAAACTGAAGTTACCTGCATTTAACACTTCCCTCAGTCTTAAGGTGCAATCACACTAACCAAATTTCAGAAGGTGTAATGAATATGGGCAACAGGATATCCTGTCACATAGTTATAAATCAGAAAAAAAAACATGTTTTTAATCAACCCAGGCTTATTGGAAAACCGTTCCTGTGGTGACATTTCTGCAAAACGATATCATGCTGCTTCTCCCTTGTTTCACTGTAATTTCAAAGTGAAATGACTAGTGAGTGGCGGTAATAGTGCATTTAGCTTTATTTGAAACAGATGAACGCGAGTCAAGCAAAGTTTTATAACGCTGTTTTTTGTATCACAGCAGTTCTGAAATGAAATGTCTATTGAGTGGCACTAAAAGGTTAATGCTCTGTCACTAAACCCAACCAATAGTATTAACAAAAGCAAACATGAGAGAGAAACACTGAAGCATCCTTTTGTTCAATTATACTCTTGTGACTTGTCTTTTATAGGACTCGTTCTTATGAACTTCATGGTAATAACTTCAAGTTAATCTTCAAGTGAACTTCAAGTTAAATGCTATACTGGGTGCACTACCGAGCAAATTCATTACCTAAGAAAAGCCATACATAAGGAGCTTTTTATGTGATGCAATCATCAAAATGTGTTTGTTTACAAACAATGCACTATGGTAAAAGTGTTCTGAGGTCGTAACATAGTACTATTGCACAAGAAAGCACACACTAATAAGTCTTTATTAATGAATAGTCTGCCCCGTAATCAGCTGGAAACTGCAATATTGACTCCCTCGATAGAAATCGGAAAAATCTCTCATCAGGGCCCTTGGAATAGCCCTAAGCCCCCCCCCCATTACTGTGCCCCGACATTTTTGGAGTTTTGCAAAAACATAAGTAGGCACGTTTTTTCCAATAATCATAAGTTGCTTGAAATGTTGAACGAGATATTCTATATATTATCTCTACTCCACCTTTTCATAACACTGCAAACTCTCTAGCTTTGAGGTCTGTATTCTTGGAACTGAAGACTTCTACATGAATTTGCACATCCAAGTTTACCAACTTTACATTTCCCTCACCTGTGTTCACATGCGTATGAATGGTTGTTAAAGTTTAATGTGACCGCACCTTTAGACTTCCATATAGATAAAACACTATATTAATACCCCTAATAGCTGTCAATATTTATACTGAACACATCACTATCACACAGTCCAGTACAGAACCCAAATTTGCACACGATAATCCAAGAGATGACGTTCCAAGCTAAACAAATTTCATCAAAATATCAGTGATCCCACCAATCATGCATCTGTTTTAAACATTTTTGAGCCCCTACATGATCAGATGATCAGAAATGCATGATGAGAAATAACACTGCAGGGTTTCGCCAGTCTTTGAACCATAAGCGACATTTCCTCTGCATAAGTCGTATCTCATGCAAATCATTTTAAGTCTCCAACACTGATTATAAGGCACCTATGGATGTTTCCATCTTTTATAATCACCAATATCTAGATCTCTACTTTAAAAGAAAAGAAAAGAAAAGAAAAGAAAAGACAGACACATGGCATGTGTCAGGTGATGACACTCTACAACTATTTACATTTACACAAGCAGCGATACATCTAGCCACAACTTGTCAGCACTGCCTGAACACATTATTTTATGACAATATCTTTTAAAACAGGGCTGGAAGTTTCTCTGAAAAAGGGACCTAGTTGTAAAGTACTCTTAAGTTGGACTAAAATATGCAAACAATTGAGAAAGACACCTGTCCTGTGGGCTATCATATTTTAGCTGTTATATGTTCATATAAAAAGTGCAAGTTGATAACTGTACCTTAAGAGTACATATTTAGCAGCAGTTGGTAGCATGTCAATGTCTTCCCACTGACTGAAGAAGAAAAAAAATCTGTATCCACCTTTTATATGAGTTTAGATAACTTTCTCTCAAACTATTTGGACTAATTGTAAAGCACTTATCATTTCTTTGTGTATGTAGTGCTTTCAATATATTGAGACAAGAACTGAGACAGCAATACTGAGCCACTTCAAGGGATAGTTCACCCTAAAATGTAATCAGTTACTCATAATAAGATGTTTTGCAGAATGTCCTGGCTGCTTTTGTCCTTGTAGTGAGGTATGGTGACCCAACCTTTCAAGCTCTAATCCTACCATCTGATTTTTATGTATTTATTTTTTGAAAACTTGCGATTAATTGGCACCATCTTTTTCCACCGTGTAGAAATAAGCTGCCTGGATATTCACTAAAGAGCTCCTTTTGTGCTCAATATGAGGATTAAACCAATGGAGATCAAGATAAAGAGATGATGATAGTAAAACATTTTAGGTTGAACTATCCCTTGCTTTAACTGTCGTATTAAAACTAATCATTACCCAATTGACTTTTTCCCTATACAACGAGATTGAATTTACTTCTAAAATGAGCTGAAACATTTATTGGCAATTCCTTCTCTTCTTCTGATTCTTCTTCGTTCTTTGTCGTTTTTTATATATATTTTTTGCAAGAGCAGGGCAGTACATTCACAATGCTTTTTGCTTAAGATGCTGTAAGGCTGCCAGGTAAAGGAAATAGCTAAAAAGCCAGGGATTTATACGCTGCTTTCTAACGCCTTATGAATGTAAGCAGCAGTTATGCTAAGAGGATAGACAGCACCGCCATCTCTGGATAGTTAGAACCAGAGGAAAAATCCTGCAATCACAGTTGTGGACAGTTAAAATTCATCATTGTGCCAGTAAAAAGAAATAATAACTGCGGTTAAATAGCTGTTGTATTTACAAATATAAGGTACTGAATCTAATGCTGCTGTTGGTTATTATTTAGTCCACAATCAAGGTAATAAAGAACCTAAAGCCAAATTAAAAATAAAAAGCAGAGCTGTTGCCACCCAACTTAAAATATGGTATTTGAATTAAACAATTCATCATAGAGTGCCCTATTGCACACCCGGGTTTCTGTTCTCAAAAGTGACAAGGCAGATGGACACATTGTTGTGCAAATGCTGGACCGAAAAACTGTGATATACAAAAAGCATAACTGTCTAACCTAAAATACATGAATTTCTTTTCAACAAACCAGTGACCGTAAATATGATAATCTGAGATGCATTGAGACACCGTGTTAAACCTCCCTTTAAAAAGTCCACAGGTGGTTTATAGTGCTGTGCAGAAAGGGGAGGAGGGGGGCTTCTACATTTTAGAGTATAAAGCAGCACCATTTACAGTAATATTATTAAAGTTTCTTTTGCACCTTTAGATGTCACAGACTACCTTGAGTGGTGAACACTGAGGAAGATTGGTGTTATAAATACTTCTCTGTAAATGTTTTTGTGTAAAACCGGCGGTCAGTCAATGAAAGTCAAGCTATGACTGAATGATATCAAGGCCTTTTTGGGCTGAATGAACTTTAAACCTTAGCAATTGAAATAAAAGGATTTTTAAAAGGAACTCTCTTTGACAGTGCAGTTAAGTCCAGAACTAGATTTAATATCGGTCAACCCTGAAGCTAAAACTAAATTGAAGTCTAGAAGCAAAACCTTCATGCAAATCCCCAACTGCGACAACATCACGAGGATCAAGATCAACATTTCCGTTGGAAATACAAATGTGGATCATTTAAGAAGTAGAACTGCTTTGTACAACCTTTTAACAGACTTTGCAATCTTAAAGAAATTGCGATCTTAAATTCGCTTATTTAAATCTAAACTCCATACTAAGTCAAGTTTAGAGTCCTTTTATTTTTGTGTGTGTGGGAAGGATGCTGTGGATGAAGTGACTATGTTGTGACGTTAGTTTTGTGCCAGTGCTATAGAATACGTTTTCTGAAATGAGTGTTAACTGTGCCTATGCTGAGGGCTAGACTTTGGCTTTGTTCAGACAGGCAGCAAAATTCCAATTTATTTTTATTTTATTTCTTTCTTTTTTTGGAATCCGATGTTTCCAAACTACATCCATATGTAGTCAGCTGAAAATCTTTTAGAATGCATCTGAACAGTCAGATTACATTACAGATTACAGAAAGTAGTTTTTCGTCATTCCATAAGTATCGCATCCTGTATGTCTCTTTTACTTTTACTTTTATATTAAATTATATGACATTCACCGGAGCCCCAAAGGGGACATGGAAATGAAAATGATATTTCTTGGCAAAATAAAGTATTGCGTTCCCCCAGAAATGTTTGCCTGCAAAAAGCATTGAAATATAGCCACCTCATATCAACACAAATGTTTTGCGAGTGAACGGAAAACAAATTCTCAGGGGAATGCAAAAGTTTTGTGCAAGAACGCAAACACTTAGTGAGAGAAAGCAACATTACTTGGGGGAGCGCAAACATTTTGTGAGAAAAACACAATGTGATGTGAAAACACAAAAGTTTTGTGAGAGAATGCAAAATTTTTTGTGCAAAGGCTTTATGAATGTTTTGTAAGGGAATACAAACGTTTAGTGACAGAAACCAAAATTTCTTAGCGGAAAGCAGAAGTTTAGTGAGAAGCACAAATGTTTTGCAAGAAAACACAATGTACACTTAAAAAAAAAGTTTCTCAGGGGAACGCCAAAATTTTGTGAGAGAATGCAACATTTTTGTGCAAACTTTTTTGAATGTTTTGTAAGAGAATGCAAACATTTAGTGAAAAAAAGCAACATTTCTTAGCGGAAAGCAAAAGTTTGGTGAGAAGCACAAACATTTTGCACAAAACAAAAGAAGCTTTTAAGAGAAACGTAAACGTTTTTTGAGAGAACGCAAAGTTTCTCAGGGGAACGCAAAAGTTCTGTGAAAAAAACGCTAACGTTTTGTGAGAGAATACAAAGCTCCTCAGGGAAATGCAAACGTTTTGCGAGCGAACGCAAATTTTCTCAGGGGACCGCAAAAATTTTGTAAGAGCACACAACAGTTTTGTGAGAAATTGCAAAGTCCTCAAGGGAGCGTAACGTTTGCAAGAGAAGTTTTGGCGAGAGAACATAAAAGCATTGAAATATAATTTCCATCAGCATGTCCCTACGGCTCCATAACAGTCATGTCATTAATAGTGAGTAAGTGATTTCGGACACAGCATATGCATGAATGTTAATAAGAATTGCTAAGAGCTAATCGCTCTCACGCATCTCATGAGTTCAGCACCGTGGCAAGATGTCATGATAACTGTCCTCTTTACATCATGCTGATGCTTATATCACTTCTATTGCAACTGCCTCCTAACTGTGTCCTAAAAACGGGATGTGAAAACCAAATCGGATTTGTGTGCAGTGTGAACAAAGCCTTAGTTTTGGCCTCTGAATGTACTAAAACTGATATACAAACTGGGTTGCAGTAGCTGCAGGTCTTGGAGTGCATAGACTGCTAAGACCTCTTTGCATTGAGCTCTGTTTGAGGCATATATAAACTCACCACTATTCTCAGCTCAGACTAGACGATGAGCAGAGGAAGAATACTTGTAACAGATGTGAGAATGTGAATGAGGGCAGCGGTGCCATGGAGCAGAATGGATGTACCCTGTTGGTTGAAGCGCACTGGTGAGGCATAGTATATGCGTGTTTCATAAACGGGTTTGGGCTTCAGGGATGTAGATCTCTATGCTGTCGGCCCGCTCTGTAGCTGAGCTCTGACGGAAAGAAGCAGCCCGTTTTGCAGCCAGGAGCCTGCGGCGGGCCTCTTGCCTCTGTCGGTCCTGCAGGTCCAGGGATCGCTCACGCATGACGGCTCCACGACTTTTAGGAGGCCTCTTTGTAACAGGAGGTGGCCATTTTCTTTCCTGAGATAAAGAAGTAGAGTTCATTATCATTTCCTTGGTTTATTAGAATGTGTGTCAATGCAACACATCAATTTAGTGCAAATAATTATTTAAAAAAGAAAAAATGAAGCTGAGAGCTGAATGACTATTTTTATTCATTTTATCCCCTGATTAAAACAATGCATTTAACAGAGGCATCAGTATCAGTATTAGTAATTATATATAAATTTTGCTATGTAAATATATATATATATATATACTACCAGTGTTGGGGAAAGTTATTTTTTAAAGTAATGCATTACAATATTGAGATATTTTATAAAAGTTCTATTTTTTTGGCAAATGTAAATGTTGTACCCTGTTGGTTGAAGCGCACTGGTGAGGCATAGTATATGCGTGTTTCATAAACGGGTTTGGGCTTCAGGGATGTAGATCTCTATGCTGTCGGCCCGCTCTGTAGCTGAGCTCTGACGGAAAGAAGCAGCCCGTTTTGCAGCCAGGAGCCTGCGGCGGGCCTCTTGCCTCTGTCGGTCCTGCAGGTCCAGGGATCGCTCACGCATGACGGCTCCACGACTTTTAGGAGGCCTCTTTGTAACAGGAGGTGGCCATTTTCTTTCCTGAGATAAAGAAGTAGAGTTCATTATCATTTCCTTGGTTTATTAGAATGTGTGTCAATGCAACACATCAATTTAGTGCAAATAATTATTTAAAAAAGAAAAAATGAAGCTGAGAGCTGAATGACTATTTTTATTCATTTTATCCCCTGATTAAAACAATGCATTTAACAGAGGCATCAGTATCAGTATTAGTAATTATATATGTTGGGGAAAGTTATTTTTTAAAGTAATGCATTACAATATTGAGATATTTTATAAAAGTTCTATTTTTTTGGCAAATGTAAATGCCCTTTCACAACAAAAGTGAAGTAATGAATAAGCCTCAGGCTGAAGGAAATGTGAAATTCAAAAAGCTCAAACAAATCTTTCAGCTGTGCTGCCATTCTGGATTCCAAATAAAGAATTGAATACAAGAGAAGAAAGTTCAACACTTTCTTCTCAATCACAAAAATAAAGAATAAAAGGTTGAATTAGTATGATTTAAATGGGTCACTGAGTCAGAACTGGTTAATAAAATGTGATTAAATACATAAAGGATTTTTATGTTAATGTAATTATTCCAGGTTTATGTTTGCTTTTCACTGTTTTTATTCATTTTGAGAAATTAATTCATAGCTTATACATTAAACTTTGTAACAGAGATTAGCATATTTTCTGAAACACAATTCCCATTTTTTTTATCCTCTGAAACGCGCTGCAACTTATATTCTAAAGCGACTCATATAATGCAATTAACGTCAACAAGCAAAACATGCGCACACATTTGTATTGGTGCAGAATATTCAGCTGTGAATATTGAATTTTTAACATTATGTTAATTACATACATGTACTTCATAGACATCCTTAATCTCTAATAACTTTCGTCAATAACATTCAACTCCCAGTTGTTCTGTTGTCGGTGATTCTTTATCTGAACATAGCACTGTTCACATGCTGTGTGGTGGTATCGGTGTTTGGTATCGGAGCATTTTTATGAGTACGAGTACAGGAGAGCATCAGGTGCATCCCTAACATGTACTGTATATAGTCTGTGATGCTCCATGTACCTTCTTCTCTGGACTCTCCACTATCCTCCACTCATTACTCTTGATTTGTTGTAGCTCATCAAATTTGGCAGTGACATCCTCAATGGAGAGCTGCAGGAGATCCCAGAACCCAGCCAGGTCCTGAGCCGTGGGGCGGGGCATAGCGCTGGGGTCCTGCACAGAACCATTATGTTACACACTTCTCAAAGAAGAACAACAGTTATAAGTTACAGCTTTACTCATACGTTTACACACAGAATCTCAGGGATCTTTTAAAAAAATATCTATGTAATCAGTTTAAAAATAAGAGGGATCATAACGATGCATATTGGTTTTTATTTAGTTCTGTGTTAATGAAGCTATTTGACATATATACATGTACAGTGGGTACAGAAAGTACTCAGAGCTGATCCGTGCTGGTCGCTGAGGAAATACATCAACTTCACACTGTGGATCGCCGGATCGGCTTTCACAGTGGACGAAGCGGAGTCCAGCCCGGGATCGTCACATGTGGTTGCCGCAAGCCCGCCGGCCGCTTCTTTGTCGAATCCGCCGGCCGCGCCGTTCTCAAGCCCGCTGCTGCTCACTCTAGTGTACACTTAGTGACGCTGTGTTTTGTTGTGAAACCGAAACTACTTTGTTTGGCCTTCCAAAAGAGGACACGACTAGAAATTTTAGTATTTACAACACTGTTCCAGAACAGTTCAACCCAAATATTCAGATGTGTGCAGTACATTTTATGGAGGACTGTTTCCTGATCCTGGGAGAGTAGACTACAATGCCGGCTGTTCTGACTCACAGACTGTAAGTACGTTTTTTATTTGTGGTAAGGGGCGTAACATTTCCGTCACACGCTTGAGGTATTCGGCCAATCACAACGCACTGGATTGCTGGCCAATCAGAGCACACCTCGCTTTTCAGACCGATGAGCTTTGTAAAAATCAGTGCGTTTCAGAAAGGCGGGGCATAGTGGAGAAACAATAATGTATAGTATGTGGAAAATAATGTGTTTTTTGAACCTTAAACTGCATAAACACATTTCATTACACCAAATACACAAAATAATGTTCTTTTTAGCAACGTCATATGAAGGTTGCCTATTGAGTGTAAATGAATGTTTTTAGCCTGTTTAGCCGAGAGTTGTGTGTGAGTCTCTAGTTTGTCCTGAGCAGTGAAGCTACCCACTGTTCTTGACAAAAATCCTCAGTAAGTTCTTTTGATTCTCAGCACACGCTGCACGTTTGAGCTCTTCCCCACTGTGGCGCAGTGATATTGATATCCAGCTTTGCCACTCAGGACAACTGATGTACTCATACACTATCGATTATCACAAAAGCCAAAGAGCAAGACACAATGCAGAGTTGTAATTTTTTGAAGAGAATCATTTGTTTACTTTTGTCTTGGGTTATGGAGCTTTTTCAGGGCCTTAAACAATAATAATAATAATAATGGAAAATGTATGAGAAAGGAGAATAAACGTATGACCTCTTAAAAAAAATAAGGATCCTGATCACTATTTGTGCCATGAATTAATAAATGATCATGAATAATCACTAGAGGTCACTGTGGTCCAGCTTCACTTTCATCATCTCTTATCCAAACAATGACTGACAATGTCATGTATACTGATCATTAAAATTGCACAATAAAATGTCCTATTTAAAAAAAAAAGATGGATGTGTGATGAGCTATTAACTGACAATGTTATGTACATACGCATCATAATTGGAGTAAATAGTAAAATAGTTATCAATCTCAATGATTGAATTAACCATTTTTCAGTTACAAACATATTTACAATGCTAAGCTAAACTGTTCAGTCTCGTGGAAGCTCATAGAGTACAAGCTGGTCTCTGCCTGTCCGTGTGAATGTATTACAACATCTATCTTTTCACATTCTTCAGAGAGAGAGACAGACAAAAACAATCACTGACCACTAAACAAACCCTTTAAAGTGTCATTCAACCCACAAAGTACAAATTAATGTCAGGATCTTTTACTTTCACACAACCTGAAACCCAGGCTGAAATTATATTTAGTGGAGATAACATTGCAACTAATCAATGTGTAATTCAGTCAACTAAACAGAGTAAACATACTTGTTAAACAATATTTAATACGTTTTATTCAGTAAAACTTACTTGATATGCAAAAATGCACCATATATTTAGATCTATTATAAAATAATATCTTGCTTTAGTACTTTTTTAAGGTTTTTAAGCATAATGATCAAATTTAGTACACTTAAATATACAAAAGTATAGTTTAAAAATAGCATAAAACTGCCCATGTGAAAAAAAAATATATTTTTAATTAAAATAATATCGCTTCTCGAATTTATTGGCTTTTAAGGATCTTTATTTTTTCTATATGAGATGCTGAAAAGCTAGTATTTAACCTTAAATAATTAGTTTTTCACCTAAAAATAAAGACTTTCAAGAAAATATTGTGTATTTAATAAATGAAAGGTAAACACTCTCACAAATACTTGATGAATTGCCTCTCAAAGAGGCAAACCGAATCATTTATGACAGAACTGATGCATGGTTGATGTATTTTATGATGCAAAAGGGGCATTAATGTATATCTCATGGGGATCGTAGAAATGCCACATACCAGATTTTGCTGACACAACCAGTAAAATTGCTGGAATTTCTGGGACATGAGGAGCTGAGCACTGCCTACAGCACTCCGGATCTTCCCAAGAACTGTAAGACATTATAAAAAAAAAAAAAGTATATATATATATTTATTTTATTTATTTATTTATATATATATACACACACACACACAGCGGGTAAAATAAGTATTGAAAAAAAAACCTTCTCAGTAAATATATTTCTAAAGGTGCTGTTGACATGAAATTTTCATCAGATGTTGGTAACAACCCAAGTAATCCATACATACAAAGAAAACAGTACAAATAAGTTCAAAAATTAGGTTCTGTGTAATAAAGGGGAATGACCCAGGGAAAAAGCATTGAGCACGCTTACTGAAATGTATTTATGGCCCCAACAGTGCTCACTGGAACATTCAGAAGTATAGAAATCCTTCTGCAACCAATGCCATCAGTATGTTTTGCAACAATAAGGTTGCTAAGGTCTTGAGAAAGCTCTTTGCTTTTACCCATCATGAAATGTTTCTTGTGTGACACGTTGGTCATGAGACACCTTTTTATAGGCCATCAGTTGGGCATGAACCAACTAATATTAATTTAAACTGACAAGGGGCAGGATTGCTTTCTAATTACTGAGTTCAGCTGGTGTCTTGGCTTTCCATGCCTTTTTGCATGTGTTCAATACTGTGTCATTCTACTTTATTACACAGAACTTAATTTCTGAACTTATTTGTTTTCTTTGTATTTATGGATTACTTGGGTTGTTACCGACATCTGGTGAAAATGTAATGTCAACAGCACCTTTAGAAATATATTTACTGAGAAAAATGGGGATGTGTTCAATACTTATTTTACCTGCCTGCTGTATATATATATATATATATATATATATATATATATACACACATTTTATATAATTTATATATTTTTATACATTTTTAATTATTAAATACAGAATTTAGTAAGAACTGATTAGACCAGCCCAATGTCACGTGAACACATAACTAATGTTACAACAAGGTGGCAATTTTGTATGAATTTGTCGAATGTGAATCATATGAATATTAAATTGCATGAATTCATATGAATAAGTAACCAATTTGCCAAAATGTAAAAAATTTTACAAACTGAGAATGTGTTGGTTTTAGACTCATTATCTGTTTCTTTGATGTCCTGCACACTCACTCTCCTCTGACAGGTCGTGCTCCTCCGCCTCACGTTCCATGTCTTTGCACCATCCCTCCATCCTTTTGGTCTCGCTGTGCAGAAGCTGCATGAACCAACTGCCGTCGCGGCGGAGTGGTGACACACGGCCGGACTCGGCTGCTTCATGAGCGGGCTCCACCAGCCAGGGCTCAGGCTGTGGACTGGACGGCCCGCTGGAGGGTCGGTAATCCTCACGGTAGCTAAAAAGGCCCTGTGTTCGTACAGTCCGAACCACGCTGTACTGTGTGGGTGTACTGGGTTCAGAATGCAGCTGAAATCCTCCAAACTGCAGACTCTTGTCTTCGGTCGAAGGAAACCCCTCCAGCTCCAAATCGGCCTGAACTGCCGTCGTCACACTGTTGGACCGTTTAAAGCGGCCAAGTCTGAAAACAAACATAAGAGTGACAATATTAAAGAGAGCTGTTTATGTGCTTACACACAGAAAATATATAAATATATGTATTTATCTATACACTGTTTCACTTTACTTATTTTTCTGAGCTACTGGACTTTTAAAAAGGATTATTAATTCATGATAACCTTAGTTCTACTGACCAAATGTCCTGTAAACTTACCTCTTCTCGTCCTCCACCTGGATACCCACGGACTGATACTGTGGGAGACCTTTACTATCTGTCTCAGAATCTGTGGCCGCTTCCACCTGAGGAATAAGAAGATGAAGAGATAAAATTTGCACAGAATGAATGAGAACACACACACACACACACACACACACTGTACACTGCCTTAAGCATGATCCAAAGAAATAAAGCACTAGACTTTGTCAATTATTGCAAAGTTGCAGTTTAACCATTACAAGTTTTGACAAGTAATTATTTCCCCAAACTCTTATGGTATCTCAAAGAGTGTGTTTCCATGTTAAAGCTATAGTTCACCCAAAAATGAAAGTTCTGTCATTAAGTACTCACGCTAATGTCATTCTAAACCCGTAAGACCTTAGTTCATCTTCGGAACACAAATTAAGATATTTTTGATGAAATTCGAGAGCTTTCTGACTCTGCATAGACAGCAACGCAACTGAAATATTCCCAGACCCAGAAACATAGTAAGGACGTCGGTAAAATAGTCCATGTGACATCAGTGGTTCAACCGCAATTTTCTGAAGCTACGAGAATATTTTTTGTTCGCAATGAAAAAAAAAAACGACTTTATTCAGCAATTCTTCTCTTCCAAATCACGTATTCCACCATTATGGAGAGTTCCATGATGCAGCACCACATGCATGCATTGTTTACATGCAGAGTTACTCTCGATAATGGTGGAAGACGTGATTTGAAAGAGAAGAATTGTTGAATAAAGTCGTTATTTTCTTTTCTATGTGCACAAAAAAGTATTCTTGTAGCTTCGTAAAATTACGATTGAACCACTGATGTCACATGGGCTATTTTAATGATGTCCTTGCTACGTTTCTGGTTCTGGGAACATTTCAGTTGCGTTACTGTCTATGGAGGGTCAGAGAGCTGTCAGATTTCTCACATGTGAAATCAGTCCAATAGCTGAACGGGACATCACGGCGGATGACGTCATGACCAGGAAGCTATAAAAGCATGTGCGGCGGAGCGCTCTGTGTGTGTCAGTCATATTTATTGTTGTCTGTCTATTGTGAGAAAAAGTCTAATAAGCAGCTATGTCTAAGGCTCATGCTAAGACAAAGCATGCAGAGGGCGAGTGCAAGCCACGTTATAGGTTGTGTGTTCCTCCCTGCCCACATTATATCACGAGTGGGGATACACACAGCCTGTGCGTGGTTTGCTCGAGAGACTGATTCCCTTAGTAGATTATTTAGCAGCGTGGAAGCTACTGCCAAATGTATCTGAATGGGTCCTGCGTACTGTAGAAAGAGGCTACGGAATCAGTTAGGTTCTCGTCCGCCTCATTTCAACGGGGTCACCCCCACGCTAGTGGGTCCCGAGCAGGCTCTGGTATTAGAACAAGAAGTAGTTACTCTCTTAAGGAAGGAGGCCATCGAGGTGATCCCTCCACACGAGATAGACTCCGGATTCTACAGCCGTTACTTCATTGTTCTTCATTGTTACTTCACAGGACTGGTTTGTCACGATCGATCTGAAAGACGCGTACTTCCATATCTCCATCCTTCCTCATCACAGGAAGTTCCTGAGGTTCGTTTTTGGGGGCAAAGCGTACCAATATCGTGTTCTTCCTTTCGGCCTTGCACTCTCACCCCGTACTTTCACGAAGTGTGTGGATGCTGCTCTGGCTCCGTTGCGACTCCAGGGCATCCGCATACTCAACTACATCGACGATTGGTTGATTTTAGCTCGTTCAGAGCAGATAGCGGTTCGACATCAAGATGTTGTTCTCGCTCACATGAGAGAGTTGGGGTTAAGACTAAACGCCAAGAAGAGTGTGCTTTCTCCATTACAGAGAACCACCTATCTGGGCGTGGTGTGGGATTCAACCACGATGCAGGCACGGTTGTCTCCTGCTCGGATCGAGTCGATCCTCACTACAGTCAAGAGAGTGAAAGAAGGCCAGTCACTCACTGTCAAGCAGTTTCAAAGACTGCTGGGTCTGATGGCAGCCGCGTCCAACGTGATTACTCTTGGCCTGCTGTACATGAGACCCCTGCAGTGGTGGCTCAAGACCAGGGGGTTCTCCCCGAGGGGAAACCCGCTTCGCATTTTCAAGGTCACGCGGAGATGCCTACGTGCCTTAGATGTGTGGAGGAAGCCTTGGTTCTTGTCTCAGGGCCCGGTACTGGGAGCTCTTTGTCGCCGTGCGACGCTAGCAACAGATGCATCCCTCACCGGTTGGGGTGCGGTCATGAGTGGCCACCCTGCCCGCGGTCTGTGGGGTGGTCGCCATCTGACTTGGCATGTCAATTGTCTGGAGATGCTGGCCGTATTTCAGGCATTGAAACACTTTCTCCCAGACCTGAGAGGTCACCATGTGTTGGTGCGCACAGACAACAAAGTGGTGGTCTCATACATAAACCATCAGGGAGGTCTGCGCTCACGCTGTTTATACAAATTGGCACACCAGATCCTTGTGTGGTCCCAGGAGAGGCTCCTCTCGCTGAGAGCAATGCACATTCCTGGGCATCTCAATGTGGTAGTAGGCAGGGGCCGAGGCCCGGGGAATGGATGCTTCACCCCGAGGTGGAGAGGCAGATATGGAGTATTTTTGGCCAGGCTCAGGCGAACTTGTTTGTGACTCAGAAGACATCGCAATGTCCCCTCTGGTACTCTCTGACTCATCCAGCTCCGTTGGGGCTGGATGCCATGGTGCAGGCGTGGCCGAGGCTTCGCCTGTACGCTTTTCCCCCGATCGCTCTGCTCCCAGGAGTTCTGGAGAGAGTGCGCC